AGGCAGTTATACTAGTAAACTGTAATCATTTTAATAAATCGACCAAGTGGCCATAATATATCCTCCGCCATAATGAGAAGGTTTGTTATAATCTTAATCCAAAATCAGATTTGCTGATTAATATTATTCCTATATCTCTAAATTAATGAATTAATTATTATCGGAATGTTAACATGGATTTACACCAATTTCATTAACACACACACGAAGAGAAATCAAAGGGAATCAAACAGTTGCAATAACAGAGAAAGAAGAAAAAGCACGTGAATAAGAATGTAATAAAACTAAACTAATAAATAACTAGGGCTGAAAAAATTAAAAAGTAAAATTAACGTAAGAGTTATAAAAAATAGGATAGAGGAAAAAGATTACCTTCCCCTTCCCCAATCTCCCCAATCCCTGAATCCCAACGATCCTCAAACTCCATTAGGAGTTTTGGGGATTATCCCCAAAAAGCCGGTGACGCACTTGTAACGCCTCTGGTGTTCCAGGTGTCCATGGGCGACGCTGATTGCTTACCATCAGGTGATCCGTCTGCTCGTTTACCGGGTTATGCCATAAAAAAAAGAAAAAGTAATTTAACGCGTCAAAAAAATATCCTCATAATTGGGATGATGATGGTGTATGAAAATTAAAAATCTATTTAAGTAGTTCGTAAGTTAGCTAATGAAAAACTATTAGACACGTATATTTCTATTATATAGAAACAACCTTGTTTTAGATCATTCCGTTATTTGGGCATTATGATTACAAACACTATAATAATACTGTAATGCATTGTATTCTTGGACTTTGCAATTAGATAATGAAGCAATATTTTAAGGTAAGCTTTTAAAGAACGGTGCATACCGTTTCATAAGAAGCCATTTTGAAATTGATTGAAATGAATTATTACAACATTGTTCTTTTGAGATTTAACAATAATTCTGTACAAAGATTACAAACTTAGGTATGTAGTTAGTGACTGCCTCGTTGGCCGAGTGGTCGTAAGTGCGACTGCCGGGCTAGGGGTCTTGGGTTCGATTCATGTGTTAAGCAAAGGATTACTGGATTTAAAAAAAATCTCGGTAATTAGTAGCACGGAGTCTGGAAATGTGCCTGGTATATGGCAATAGGCTCACGCCCATGACATAAATTGTTAAACGTGGTTGTTACATTGTACAGTGGCATTAGTACTGTAATGTGGGCCTCTGCCTACCCCTTCGGGGATAAAAGGCGTGATATTACATGTTATATGCAAATACCAGAGACCTCCTATAGGTGCTGATATGGTGACCGG